ATGCCAAGCATTCACCTGGATGTGAATCTCCTTGATAGAAAAGGCACAGTGATGCATGTCAACCAGGGAAGTGAAGCCACTTCAAGTCAAGCAGAGTAATAGCAGCTGGCATATGGTGCCTGTACAGAAAGGGTGTTTTCCTCCTTGGGGATGGTAGTAGTGGTGGGGTTTGGACAGAAAGCATCCAAATTACACAATTACTCAAAATAAAGACAAATAATGTCTCCCAACTACTTCTAAAATGAAAATTTCAAGCTAGGAGAATGGCATCTGTCACAGCAGTAAGATTTAAGAGAAGGTCACAGCTCCTCTACCATTTCTGCTTTGCAATGAGGAAGGAAAGGATGTATGCACGATCCTATCAAACACAGCTTTTAAAAAAACCCAGGCGCATGATCATTTACAGAGGGGCCCACTTAAAGAAGTAGCTTCCACTTTCCAGAAACACAGTAAAATTGACTTCTTTAAAAACAGGAAAAAAGCAAAATAAGAGTTAAGTGCTAATGCACAGGGGTAAAATGCAACTGCCTGAAACTTTCATTCACAGATATTAATGGGCTTTTGGGGAAGTAGATATTGTTAATTCTCTCTTCAAGATGTGATAAGCGAAACAAAAGGTTTAGATAATTTACCTAAAGTCAAGAATCAGGAAGAAAGCCAATCTTCCACCTCCAAGCCTTCTCCCCTCCCCTCCCCTCCTTGTCAGGCTGTCTGACAGCTTATAAATTTCTTCAAGCCTTCTTACAGAGCTATAGAGCATTTACTTCTGCAACTGCTCCCCACAGATTTCCTATTAGCATCAGTGGGAGTTCTATACATGGAGTGGTTATAAAACTGAGGAGCAAACTGGATGTGTACGCTTTTTATGGAACAGAAATTCTCTCTTTAGCTTATATAAGGCATCAAGAAATGTTATATCAAGAAAAAAGTTTCCAACTAAATTTCCAGGATGGATTTCTAAATTATCTTTAAGAGTTTCCAAGACACTGTTAATAATAAAAAAAAAGAAGAATTAATAAGAAATTAGCATGTTTCACTAGAAATGAAATACTCTCAATATAGTGAATGTTAACAGATTGGTTTTCATAAGTCTCTTCTAAAGTACATAATTCTGGTGATTAATCTCCGTGTTTCTTTTGATGAGGATAATTCTTTAGACTCTGCACAGCTGTGAAGCAGGTAACAGGAAACAAAAAGAAAGCAGAAAAAGAAAAAGCAGCACAATAAGAAAACCTTCTTAGGAGGAAAAAAAAAAAAAAGTGTCAACACAACAAAAAGCAGCAAGGAGCACATAGGTAAGGGAAAACAGCATTCTTAGTAGTGTGTGATGGTGTATGCCCAACATCTGTTCTGTCTACTGAGAAATGTAGGCACTGTCTCTGAAAAGACACAATCAGACATTTCGTGTTCAAAACACTTTGGTTTCCTTCTCCTTGTCTCCTCTTGCCATAGCTTCTATATTTAGGTTATGGAGAGATGGACCCTTACAAGAATGGCTGGGTAACAAAGTACTTTAAAACATAACATTAATACACAAACAATATATAGGGATCACCTGGTCCATATGAAAAATGCAGTCACCTCTGCACCTTACCTTATCCTATTGAAAGGACAGAGGAACACTAAACTAACTAGAACTACTCAGACCGAATTCACTCAAAATGCAGCTCCTCTTCTGAAACTGTCCCAGAGTTTCATTTAAACATAAGCAGTTAGAAGTCTAACTGTCTCATCTGAAAGATGTAGCAGTTTCCTCAGTACTATAAAGAGGCACTGGTTCAGTGTTGACCTATTATATGGTTACTAATCTAGTGATATACTAGGAGTATCTATCTCAGTATCTGGAGGTTTTCTTCCAGTAGGTCTCCTGTCTGCTGATTCAAGTTACAAGATCTAACAAAATCACCAGTCCAAGTGTTATGGCTATTGGCTACTATTATCAGCTGATTTAAAATCAGCTAAGAGCCACTGATTCTTCACAGCTGGGCAAAAAATGTTAACACAACCTACTCCACCTGCAGACATATCAGATAATAGCATAATTCATTTAACTGCTTCACCACACCTGTCCCAGCTTTTTGCCTATTGCTTAGATTATAACAAGTATCAGTTAAATGCATGAGCTATGTAAGGGCACAGTATCTTTTGGCCATGTAACAGGGCCCCTTTTGGTCAACATTATAAGGAAGGGTAAAAGAGGAAGGTTCCTTTAAGAGGGACACCACACCTGGGAAGCACTGCCCTGATAGGCATATAAAAGAAGGGCCCCCAACAGTAAAAGACAGAAATATATCAGTAGTACAGGAAAGAAGAGATCCTGCAGGAGAAGGGTACATGCAGAAAACTGCTAATGTGAATAGACTTGGAGAAGGGCTGGATGGGATAAATAACACACTGAGGCAAAGTAGGCCAGAAGAAAGCCTGGTCTAGTAAAAACTTATTAGAGGAACTATAAAGGGATCCAAGGAGAGAGTGGTGCTGGGAAAGACCTAGCAGAAACCAAGCAGGGATAATAAGTAGAATGAATCTTGAAAGGACTGATGGCAAACCTAAAAGAGGCTATAAGAGATGGGGCAAGTGTTAGGAAGTCATAGGAGCCTGTGTGCTTGAGAAAGGTGCTGTGCTCTTGTGAGCAAGGCTCACGGTTCTCCAGTGACCTGTTCACTGACTTAACATCCAGATGTGGCAGCTAAGTCAAGTAGGAAAATTGAAAGAGACCTGTCTTGTGTGTAGCCTAGAAGAACTGCTTGAACCTGAGAAACTGGGGCACTAGTGAGTGGTCACAGGCTTTAATTATCTACTTTGTAATATATAATAGTACTATGCTTAGTTGCATGCTTTCACTGGAAAAGAGCAGCAAGTGTCAAATGGTCTATTATTAAAAGCCCTGAAAAATTAAGGGAGGTAAAGCCTGTCCAGTGGCTGACTTGGTTCACTTCCAAGGTTTCTAATGACATTCTCTCTTTCCTCTCCCCCACCTCCCCCGACTCTCAAGCCTTGAACATCATAAGAAGTTGTCAGCTTTGTTGTAGCTGACAGTACTGTCTGTCTGCCTAGTGAGCACTCTTTTCCTTGTATCTGAACAAGTTCATTATCTCTTTCACCTCCAAAGCTACATGGTTAAGCAGGGTACAGTTTTATCTTCTGGTGCTGTGTCCAAAAAAAACAGAATGAAGTGGAAGGATGCAAGGTAAGAAAGCGTTTTGTGTTCACTTGAACAAAGTCTCTTGATCATTTTTAAGATCTGTGCAACTTCTGACAAAGGTTTATTCTTGCAAACAGTATCATATTACCTTTCTCTTTGTTATCCAAATGCACGTTTACAACAGCAGTTACGGCCTTGTAAGCAATCTGGTGATGGATCCAAATGTATGTAAATAGAGATTATTTTATTTTGCTAGCAGTTTTCAAAGCTAGAGCTGTGCTGGGTGTCTTTTTTTCACTTATGCCTGAATAGCCAGTATTGTTCCTCTCAGAAGATCCTGGTAAAGGAGTAAGTCACAGACTGGCTGGGACATTCTCTTACCCCAAGAACTCTGCATCATTGCCTTAAAATTATCCCATGAGGCAAAAACCAGTCTCGCCTTTCTGAACAGGGACAGTATGGTCTGCTCCCTCCAGACCTGTGTCTAACTACAGAATGAATGCTCTTGTCAAACGGAGACACTGCATTGGGGGCAGAGTGTGGTACTATACTGTTCCAGCAGAGGGAGTCTGAACTCCAAGGAGGTCATCCCACAGCAAGGGTAAAGCTGTTTGAGCAAATCTAGCCACTGAGAGCAAAAAGAAACCTCCCATGCAGAGGTTGCCCAGGCATAAACAAATGAACTCAGTTTTATGAAGCAAAAAAGCTAACACTTGTGCAATGACTGGGAGAATAAATAAGCAACTGCCAGATCCTGAGAGAAAAACACTTGTCCATATGATCGGAGGGATGAACTACTAGCATTCATGATTTTCCTGTTCTCAGCTTGCTTAACAAGTGCATAGATCACCTACATCACAGGACTGCCAGACCTAACAGGAGACCAGCCTGAAATGTCATATATTCCCTTTTAAATGCACAGTCTCCAAACTGGGGAAAGAAATGGGACCCTGTAGTGACTCAAACTTGGTGTAATGAATGCTCGTTAACCACAGGGACAGTCTGCAATAAATTTTGTACCTCATTAAAATTGATTACCTCATTTCTCAGAGGGTTTTATGCCTCTGCTGGTCTAGAAATTAATAGGCCCTGCTCAGTGCCTGACTGCTGCAGAAGCACCGAAATGGATGGCTAATAGTTGGGTTCACCAATTAAGCATTTAAATGGGGTTCACTCATAGCACAAAGCAGACAGTGGAGCCAAAGGGCTTCCATGTATTTCAGTAGTTGACTCATCTGCACGTAGGTTTAGTTTATCGTGAAATCAATACCCAAAACTTTGAGACCAAGATGGTGTAACAGTGATGAAAATTCTGTATCTACCCAATATGCACAGCAGTGGGATATGACACTGTTTGCCAATACAGCATAAATGAGCAACTGCAGGCTTTTAAAAAGGAATATTATGTTCCCTAATACCAGTGAGCCATGGGACAATAAGAAGCAAAAAAATAAATCTAGTCCTACCACTGTACCCACCCTCTTAGGCAAGGACCTGCTTAAATCTAACTAACTGTATATAAATAATCCAGGTGGAAGAGCTGCTGTTTGAACCGCACAACTTGGGACATGTCCAAAGATGCTGCAGACCTAGGAAAACCTTGTAATATAATGCAACTTGTACCAATCCACAACACTTCATGAGTCCAAGGGTCTGTAGGTATTAACTAGCATCTGGAAGAGTAACCAACTGGTTGACTTGTCACTCTCTGAACTTTCACCTTTTAAACAGTAAAGTAACTTGCTGTACTTCTGTTCTTCACATTTAACTTGTCCAAAATCAGTACCACAGCTACTGTTTAAATCTTGACAACACCCAAATTTAGCCATCAACTATTAGCAACCATGAAACTAACCTTGGACCTTGAGCCGAACAACAGGCAATCTGTTCTTCTTACTATCTTCAACCATGTATGGGCACTGATTAATGAAAAACCTTCCTAAAATCAAGCAAGAAAAAAAGCAAGTGGTGACTTTTATTTTATTTTTTTATCCCCCCCCCCCTTGAAAAAAACAAACTTTAAAGCAAAGGACACACAGTTAGGCAAGCTATTAAATGGGCTGATCCCTGACTTCTAAAAATACTATATGTATTTTAAGACAAAATTATTTCATACACATTAAAACTACTTGAAAAACATGATCTATTATAACACATTGTTAATAATAGAACAGTTGCATTCAAGATCTAAATATTCAGGATTTCAGTTTTGCCATAGTATGAATTTGAAATACAACTACAGTAGAGCCACTATGCTGAAAATAAAGTTAAGCATATTTCGCAGATAATATGTGGTGACTGGCACTTTGACATGTACCGTATAATGGCTTCAACAAAAAGCTTTGAACTCCACTCTAAAATCCTATGAAGTAGCCTAAGAGGGCACGCAAGCCTTGAAAATACAATACCAGTTGGCTCATCTTGGGTTAAATGAGATGTATCATAAGAACATGCTGAAGTTACTAAAATGAGCACACATTCTGGCAATTTAATAAAACTCCCCTGATGCTCCAGTTATGTGAGGAGGTTCACAGTTGACCTCGGCAGAACAAGCTAAAATATCTTGGTTATGGTAAAAACCAATCCTTAAATCTGAGAAGCTGACAGCGTATAAACAGGAGCATGGCAATTGGCTTTGCACCTCAATGCTACTCCAGAGAACACTGTACACTGAATACTAGACTTCAATTGAGCATCAGTCTTCAATTGTGGAACTCAAGTGCACTGTTGTGCAGGACAAAAAGTCCTAATTCCATCTGATGTAGTTTGATCACTGTTCCCCTTTTATAGTTTAGACTATGAAGTGAGTACCTTAAACATCAAAGAATTCTGTTTTCCCCATTAGCTTCATGGGATACAACAAGTAGCACATCCTTACAGCACAGGTTTACAACTCACCTTTGTGCTTTGAGCTAGATCTAGACCTATAGAGTGCATTGCATGCCAGATCCAGCCTGCCTATGTCCTAAGACCAATAGAGACTGTCTAGTGGAACACCTTCCCTCCCATTGTTGAAGTTATGGCATTCTTGAGACGACTATTACAAGTAATAGGAAAAGTAATCTTTTGAAGTATTTTGTGTATGTTAGCTACTTTTCAATTGAGACCACGGTATGAAAACTATTGTCTAGGAATAAAAAAAAAAGTCAAAAAGGGATACCTTCAAACAAGAATCCAGAAAAAACAAAGCACAGGAACTGAACCCAGAAGCAAGCAGAACATCAACAGCCCTAACCAGGCAGAACGGCAAATGACCGAAATGTAATGCATCATCCCCCACAACTTGCTGCAATCAGGAGGTGGCAGCCGTGCAGGTAAATGCATTCAAACTTGTAGCGCTCTAGCTCAGGCTTACAGCTGTGAAGACATTGTTCTATGGCTTGTATAGCCCCACTTGGGACTGAGTGTGTCAGGTGGTCAGCCCACGCTAAAGTCTGTATTGTGCTAGTTTTGGTCCAGAATTGCCTCTGGATCTGTCAGTTGCCAATTATGAAACTATTTCTGCTTTCCTGGGATGTCCCTAAGCTATTTCCTTTTGATTGCCAATCAACGGCTACCAAATGCTGGTTTCAGGAAACTAGCTGGTACCCAGGTTGTGATAGCACCTTTCAGTATAGTGTAAATGTATCCACACTTCTAGTTTTCACAGCCATCATATGACCTCTCACTCACAAATCCCTCACTTGTGAGGGAGAGAGAGAGAGCCACGCTCATAATCTGGAAAGGATGACTGCAATGAAACCATACAAACACTGATGCCTGATTAGTGTCTGTAGCAGAGACTGCCTGGGGACATACCATATGGGGGAGGGGGGAAGAAAGGTGTGGTTGGTTTTTTGTTGGGGGTTTTTTGGCTTTTTTTGGGGTGTGGGGGGGTGACTTTTTTTAATGCTGAAAAGAAATGAGGAAAGTGCAAAGGTATGTGGCACTCCCAGGGACTGATCATGAAACACATTTCTTGGCAACAAAGCACCATGTCACCAGAAACTAAAATCCCCTCTCCATACTCCTCATGGGCACATGAGTAGGACCAGCTGTCCATCTTCCACCTTGCAGAGCGCCCCCTCGATGGTCCACAGTGACACAAAGTGGTCCATGTTTTGTTGCAAGGTGAAATGTCCAAATTCACATGACACCTCTGGGCCAGGAAGTGGAAGAACTGGAGGGTGTCATCGGAGCTGGACCCTGTGAGCTTATTTCTGTGGCTTTGCAGAGTTGCCATCTTGGCCTGGCTCAGCAGGAAATCAGCCAAGCAGATTGCACTCCTCTTGGCTGCTTGGTATGGGATAGATCAGATGTACATTGTCTCAGAGGAGTCAAAGTTCAGCATGCCAAAGTGTTGAGGATGGCAAAGAGCAACTGCAGCCAGACACAGTCCAGAAAAGCATGAAAGAGTCTCCTTCACCTCTTTTCAGAAAAGGCAGGCTGCTTATACCACCAGGTCTTAGTGGCAGACAAAAGTGCCTGTGACCAGTGCTCTATGCAGCAGCTGCCATTGGAGGTTGCTAGTTGTCTTGGCAATGGGTGGCTTTGTACAGGGTATGGCACGTGAGGCAGGCTTGCTCTGGTGTTGCTGCCACTAGGCACTGCCTCCAATTCATGTTGGGGTGGGCAGTGAGGACATGGGCATGACACTCATTAACTATCCATATGTACAGGGAGGTGGAGGGAGAAGAGACGAAAATAGAGACAGTGTAGAAGAGAGAGAAAGCAATAAAAGGAAGGGAAAATGGAAACAAAGATGAAAGGAAGAAGTGTGACTCCTTCAGAAAAAAAATGCATTCAGCATCAACTGAGAGAAATGGCTAAACTAGCTCTTTGTTATAAACAAATAAGTTTGATTCTTATATACCAAATAACATTAATATCTCAGGAGACATGAATGCGCAAAGCGCTGCTTCCTGCCTCTATTGATGTAGCTATAAGCCTTACCAAATTATGCTGACTTGTTTATAGTCCCAGGAAACTTGAGCAATGAATAAATAAGATGGCACAAGTGAAACTGGCTGTTTATCCTGGTCATTCAGGATAACATGATACTTCTCAAGAAAGAGGGTCCTAGTCAAATCCCTTTTGGTAACTACAGTCTGCTTATCTAGAAATATGCCTGTAGTTTAAACAAACAAAGTATTCTTCAATTTCTATCATTACTACACATACAAAAACTATACATAAGAGTGTTGCACTATTGTTGTATTTGTAAATGCTTTATAAAGAATGAAAGAATTGCTGGATGATCAGATTAACAATCCACCTGATCTGCCAGGACATCTGCTTGGCTAGGAGAAACACTGTTGACATTTTATAGCCAACTGACTAGGATCTGAAAGTTGTGTGACTTTGGTCTGCTGGTAGCATCATTTAGTTTAATCGATGGTTTGATTACTTGCAGAAGGTGCGATAAGGATGCTGATGCTTTGCTTAAAATGGTGCCTCAAACCAAATATCTCGATGACTGTCTCAAGTGTTTTCCAGCTGCATAATGCCAGCGCTAATTGTGAGCTCACTGTCACTTTGAACAGTTAGCCTCTCAAATCTGAAACCCACTCAGTTTTATTTTGGAGTCTCCCTCAACTAGACTCAACTTTATAAATCGCATCTCCAGAAAACTGCTTTAAAGATCAAAACAAGGAATAACCTACTTGCCAAACTTGCAGGTTCCACTTGGGGTGCCAATGCCTCCATGTTATGCTTATCTGCTCTCGCACTGTTGTTCAGTTGCAGAATACTGTGACCCTATATGGGCTCGTTCATCCCACAGCAAATAAGCAGACACCCGACTGCATGCTACAACGCATCTTGTGTCAGGCACACTGTGCCCCATTCCACTCCCACAATTACTAGTACTCGATAACATTGCTCCCCCTCATCTCCGCCATACAAATGCAGAATTAAACTTACTAGCCAGACTCTGGGATAACCCTATGTTGCCAGCGCACTGGGACATATTCCACCCACCAATAGCTTGGTCTCCCCTCAAGATGCCCAATATGGTCCATCCTTTCAAAATCCTTTGACTTTTCCTTATTTACTCACTGGCATGCAGAATGGTCAGCACAAGCATCAGTCAATCACTGTATCACCTCAGATCCTACAGTCAGTCACCTGGAATTTAACTGGCCATACCATTATTGGGCACTTCTCAACTGTGTTCAAGCTGGACAGGGTCACAATGCCTCATCTATACCAATGGGGCCTTTGCAATGACCCCAAATGCCCTTGTGGACAAGCTCAAGCCATGCCCCACATTGACTTGTGTCTATTTACAAAGCTACCTGGTGGCCTTCAAGTTCTTCCCACTGGGAATGACATTGCCTTAAGATGACTGAAACAATAAGCTGAAACCACAGATGCTAAATAAATAAATAAATAAAACCAGAACTAAAATTCTTCCTTATTTCAGGAAGCTAGTGGTTGCACAGTTTCTCTCTATGGTATACAGAAGTAGTGATAGATTACAAATATCTATCCTAGCATACCAAATTTCCAAACACTTTAAGTGCTTTCCTAATTTTAGCAGTAAGGCATGTATATGTTTCAAATATCCTAATCAATTTTTTTTTCATTCTGTTAGTCCCACTGGCAACAAAATAAGACTTACATGCTGAGAAGAGAGTGAAGCAGCAGTTGCAATATACAATACAGAAATCCCCCTTGCTTCCAGAATGTTGGGGAGCATTTTTCAGTATTTCCAAGTAAACACTATGCTATAATTTAGAGAGAGAAGTACTTAGCCTACATATGTTTTCACCTATACAGAATTTGACCCCGACATACAATGTTACCTAGTGTTGAATATAGGGGTGTATAAGCAAGGTATTGGCTAAAATTATACTGTACATGTTTTCTTCTATTTTTCTTTAATTAAATGCTTTAAAAAACAACACAATGTTACACAGACTTCTAACACACCAACTTCAGGAAATTGGAGGGTTGTGT